TGTTTTCTGCTCCTTTTAATGAAATTCAGCTCAAGAAAATGAACTCCTAAAAACCAGACTTGGAACGGTGACCAAGGAAAACAAACAGCTACGAGATTTGTTAAAGAAAAATGATATAGTGCTTCCTGGAAATTTTCCATCAACACCAAACGCCTTATCAGCGTCAGAAGCGGTCACATCAGGTACAGCTGATACCCCTGTGACTGTGTCCGCAGAGGCGCCAAACATAGCAGAACTGTCCACCATGGCTGGATCCAATCCATTACATGTATCAGCTCAGACAGTGACTAACTATGTAGTTCCTTCTGTTTCCACGACTACCACAGCTGTCATGAACCAGCTTCCAATAACCTCAATTGCTATTTCATGTCCGGCGAGAGAGCAATCGAGGAGAGAATCGGTGGCGTGTTTAGTGCCGTTTACCATGACAACGAACCCAATATCTTTAACAACAACAACAACGTCTGTCGTTTCCCCAATTTTGTCAAGCTCTGTGGTACAAGCCTCAGCGATGTCTGTAAATGCGCAGATCAGTGGACACAACCATTATCAGCCGCTGTTAGACCAAGTTACAACAACAAGTGTTTGCCAGCACAGTCCAAGCATTCCCACTCAACCTGAGTTGAACCACGTACAAGGAAATCTAAGTAGTTTACCGAATCCAAATCCCATTTCAAATGCCCCAGTTACGCAATTTACCACTAACTTAGGTTATCCTTTAACTCAGCAAGCTTTGCAAACTGTAAGCACTTCCTCACAAGTTTTTCAACCCCAAGCAGGATACTCCCAGCACAGTGTAGCCGCTATTATGAAAGTTGCCCTTCAGCCGGGGACATCCGTATCTCCCATTAGTGTGGTGAACGCCGTTCCTCTCGTTGCTACATCCTCAGGACACAACACCAGTGCCATCTTAAATCTTCCTCCCGCTGTGGTCAACTCAACCACTGCCGTTCCAAGCGCGATTGTGGTGCCTTCGTCGGTACCCATGGCTCTTCCAGTGTCCAACAACCTCGCGACTGCGCACTCTGAAGTCGTCAATACTGTTGAGTCACAGACTAGCAGCTTACCAACAATTTATGTCACTGCTGCTCCGCGCCAGACTGCAGCTGTCGCTAAGGTGAACAGTAAAGGAAATTCGTCACGGCTTAAAACGTCAAATGATACAAGTAAGGGGCAAACAGGAAATAAGACAAAAAAATCAGGGCCTGCGAACAAGAATCCCAAAAAATCTACCTCTTCAAGTCGAACTCAAAACGCAAAGAGAAATTCTCAAATCAAAGCCCCGTCTAATGGCGGCAAAACTGGTTCGTTTACAAATAAACGTGCAACTGAACATTTGACTGATTCAAGTGAGGCTCCCGTAGCAAAGAGAAACAACGCTTGTGGCTCTCAAGAGTCTCAGGGAAATATAAGTATTTGTCAACCCCAGCAAGAAATTATGACAATACACACTTTCAACGTGAATGCTTTAATACCAGGAATAGCGTCTCAAGCGTCTGTCCCGACTAGCACTATTGCTACAGTTGTTCCTAATAGGACAGACTGCGGTGGAATCGGTAAAACTACTAATCAGGTCTCTAGTTTGGGAATGAGTCAGAGTGTTCAGGTACCTCGTTTGTCGCACAGTATTGCCTCTTTAGCAGGGTTACCCAGGAGCATGGGGCTTTCACAAACCTCTTCAGACCTTCAACAGCATCAACACGTTCCCCAGCTTGGGTCTGCTGGCAGCCTAAGCTTCTCGGCCGAGTCGCTACTTGCTTCAAGTGAAGTCGTCTTGCCAAACATTCCTCACATAACAACCACTTCTGTCAATTCTGAAAATAACCCTAGCCATCCTAGTGGTTTAAACATGGCAATGTCATCATCGATGCACAGCACGCCCAGTGATCAAAACCACACCCAAGGGTTTTCAAATTACTCTGCAGAGACGCTTATTGGCGGGAATGACCTGATGAGTGACTCGGTCATGTCACAGGAATCTCAACTTCATACTCGACCGTCCAGGACAACCTATTCAGACTTCTCCGCCGAATCTTTGATTGGCTCCAGCGATTTAAACTCGGGGCTGTCTTACGCAATAGACAATCTCATTTCTTCACGCTCGGATGCGAATTACAACAGCACCGCTATGGTGTCTGTGAACCCAAACTTGCTTCATTCTGTGAAGGCAAATGTCGGCCAAGAAACCGGTGCGAATCATTTACGAACGATGGCGAACATCGCGGATCTTGGCGAACAGAAAACAACATTGTGTAGTAGTCAACCAACGGTAATGTACAACAATCCGTTGCCAAACAGCACATACGGAATAGCAGCGACAAATTCCTCACCTCAGTTTACGTATGTACATAATAGCTCTCAGAGAAGATCTACAGACAGCGTAACGCCACAACATCAAACTGTTAATGTGACAAACAATGTCTCCGTCGCGCCATCCACTAGTTTTTTAAAACATTCCGTGGACAGTATCACATCTTCATTATATGCGGTTAGTAACGCGGGCTCAAGTTTCTCCGTGGGGTCAAATACGGTTTCTGGAAACTCGTTTCCAGGATCCGGCTCGTTCGGAGTGGAGTCTCTCACAGGAAACCAGCTTTCTTTTGGTTCGTTGCCAAACCCTTTTTCACCGACAAGACCTTTTTTCAACCATAGCTCTACTATGGGAAGTTTCGTGTGACTTCTTGTGTTCTTCGAATTTTCTTCTCAAAGGCGGACCATGTCCTATGGGCTCGTACTGCATTACCATGTGACATGACAACTCAATCACGCCTCACATATAACTCAAGAGTTGTGTGACAAATCACGTCCTCGCATTTGAGTTGTCACGCTGTAGCTACAGAGCTTTGCATAACATGAAAGCATTGCGTTTCAGAAGTAAGATAACGTTTTCGTTAAGGTGACCTTTGAATTTCTTGGCCATAAATGAGTTTTTCTCGGCTCATAAAGTATTTATTTACTGAATTTATGAAAGACTCCTAATTGTTTGCTAGAAATTTCTGCTTAAACAACCAGTCACTGCCTCACTTATTTTGCGTAGCGAATTACAGTAACAGGGATCTTTTTTTTTTCAAGTTTGTGATCAACTACTCAAATTATTTCTTGAAGGAGTCGTATCTTTTTTATACAGGGGTACTATCGTTGGTTTATTTTCTCAAAAGAACACACAGTACGGGATTGATTAAGGTAGGATACATAGATTTGGTTTAGCTGAATCTGTGAATCCTGAAACTTTTATCCATCAAGTCTAAACGAAGGAGCTTTCTGTTATAAATGTCCTAAGCTTCTGATAAAAATGCAGAAAAGATTTGCCGGGATCTTTTTGTCGTTACTTTTTCCTAAAGAATGTAATTATCGTGTTTTTAGAGCATTAGGATGATATATATCGGAAATATCATTCTTTGGTTTAGTTGACTAAAATATTAAGACCAGTTTTCGTGTAAAGCGAAAGGGCATTTTTTAACTAGCAAATTTCACATTATTTAACTATAGAAATGAAATACCTAATATTAATATATTTTTAAAGAATGCTTTTCGATTGAATGTCGCTAAACCGAAACCAAAGGAATCTCAACAGCCAATCAAAGTAAGGAAAATATCACGAATAGCCAATGAGAGCTTGGGGTAAAAACAAGCAAACTGCTCGAAGCGCGGGAAAATGCGAGTGACCAAGTCGCGATTGGGTTCAGTTTTGAATCTGATTTGTTGGGAAAGCGGTACCAGTATTTTTAGACCAATCACATAATGAAATAAAGCAGAGACAAAAAAGCCCGGATTACTTTCGAAATCCAATTGAAAATTGCTCTAATGCTATTTCTGTGTAGAAGGTGATGTGGATTTGTAAATAGTGTTGATTCTACACGATGCTTGATCAGTTAAATATTTTCAGAGCTTTAAGCTTGTAGATTTTAAGTAACTCTATGCACTTGTTAAAATTGAAGTGGGTGAGCTGGTTAAAATTATTGTAGATATAAATTATTCTGGTGCTACAAGTCTCAGACGGATGATTAAAACGCATATTTTGTGAAATAACATGATGCCTCTCAATCTTTGATTTCAAAGGGAAGATGGTGTTTGGTTAAGTAATGATTGTAGTGGATGAGCTGAACGGGAAAAAAATGGGCCCGGGGGACTTCATAACCGAGAGCAAATATTTTCCCGTCCGACCCGACCTTAATCAGTCTAAAGGCGTTTTATAATATGGTTTTTGCTCTTTCTCGTTCTTCTTTTCTTAGTTCAGCTCACATCTCGCAAGGCCGCACGGGTTTTTCCGGCTTTGAGCGCACCATGGCGTACTGATGTGTAACTTTATCCCTCTAACATCCTTACATTATCCAGCAAACAGATAACGAGAATACTCAAACTTATCAAATAGAAGTTATTATCTTAATCTAACACCAAATTATCGTACTTTATTGACAAGGAGACGTGTAACAGCCAGAGAGGAGAAAAAACAATCAGATTGCGCGCGGCTGTATCACATTCATTTGGCTCGTTCGGATACATTTTAAAAATGCAACTTTATTATTACGGTTGGACTTTCCGTCAACAACGATTCGCATGAATTGGCCCCTCGGAAACAGGACTACCCGCTTTTAAAGTAGTTAAAGCTACAAACGCCGAATTGGCGTTTCATCTTGGACGGAAAACATTTCGTACTTTTTTTACGTTTCGGTGGTATGATCAGACATGGCCTACATTGTACATGCCTTTGGATCAAGAGAATATAAGTTTATATAAGTTTATATAAGTTTATATTCTCTTGCCTTGGGTGCCTTCAAATGATTCTACCATCGGTCTTTCCTGAGTTATGAACGGAAATCATTGATTCGTTTTCTGGTGTGGAAGGAAACTGTTTTGTTTCAATAGGGAGAGCGCTCTCCAAAGTTCCCTGACACAGACTGGAGTTAAGCTAGTGTGAGCTTTATTTAACACTGTTAACACTAAACAAATGAACGTAACTGCCGGGATACAATATCATTTCACCGCTAATTGTTCTTTGTTTAGAAGAAAAGAATCTAGCGTTGCTACGTTTATCAAAACAACAACAAAGAAGACCTGTTTTTTCATCCAAGACAAGTGTATCTGAGAATGATTAAAGGCGCTGACTCATGGTAGATTGACGCAAGTTTAAGAATGTCGGTATAATATAGGTACCAAATTGTTTGGTTAGTTTCCCGTAGTTTCACATTTGAAAGCAATTACCGTGAAGTCAACATACTGGTAAGTACGAATACGAAAATGCTTTTGTAAGTCTTGCTTGACTTATGAACCATTCACACCAAAGCTTAAACATGTTTAAAGCTGTTTTGTTAAACACGGTGTAAAATTATTTTCTTTCATAGAAGCTGCTTTAACCAATGTTTGTCGACCTGAAATTTAGCATATTTACAATACAAGTCAGTGATTATATGAATTCTAAGAAAAATTCAGCTTTTCAGTTCTCAGTGTCTGATTTTCATCTAGATACACCTGGTTTAACTGAACATATTTTTTACTGGTTTGAATGGGGTATTACTTTGCCATGAAAGCGAATTTTAGTGATATTATGCCGGTGAGTAAAGTTCTTACAGCAAGACCTGACTGCTATTTGGTAAACTTTTGTCTCGAGTCCTTCTGGTCTCTGCCTTTTTGTACCAACATCGTAAAAATCATTTTAAGACCACTTCTACGAAGCCTTTTCCGTCACACGTCCTATGATGTCCCTCAACATCAAATACAAGAGTTGTTGTAATACCACCATATTGTGGTGTATTGAACTTAAACAATCTTTTCGATGCTGCCGTTTAACAGGAGGTCGCGAAACTGTTCCGAGCTTCATAAGTAGTGTTCATTCCTTATAACTCATCTTCTTTGGCTGGTGAAGTCTTTTTAAGATTTCAGTCCAGTCCAAGTTCCTGAGGAAAACGGATTTTTTTATTTATTAGGGGTAATCCTAAGCGAGCTAAAAAAAGCTCAATATCGCAGTAGTCTAGCTGCACTGTGATGTTTCTAATATTGCAACCTGCTTGCAGTAATATTTCTGATGTTGCAACCTGCTTGAGACAATATTTTTTATAATGCAGTGGGCTCGCTATTAATTGCTTGGTACTGTTTCTTGCTGAGTAATTTGTGAAAATTCTTGGATGCCATTGTGTATTATTGATCTGAACTCGGAAAGGTTTTTAGAGTAAATTAACAGACCGCATGCAAAGTATCATTCAGGGAGACGGATAGAAGCAAATGTTTTTGAATTTTGATGAGTGCACACGTCACAATGACAATGTTTCTTAATTTTTTGAAAAAAAAAATCTTGGCAATATCGGCGCCGATTGATTGTAATCGTATTTCTCCGCCCATTTTCGACGACTTGCGTCAGATATACCCAACTTTCTTCGTAACTTCAATCGCACCTAAATTATACGCAATTGCTTTCTAAATCTGTTTTCTCCTGAAGAAGGGAAAATGCAAAGAAAACTATTCTTAGTCGTTCAAAAATGAGAGAAAACGAAAAAGCCAGAAGGTTTAATAAACTTCAACAAAAGCAGCATTCTCCGACCTCTAGGGATAGGGCAATGGAAAGAGATTTCAAATTTTTACCTCTACTTTACAATACATGCTAATTTAATTGTTGGTACACCAAAACGTTGATGTCATGCAGAAAGAAAACAACATAATTTTTATAATAGATAATTACTTCGTCTCAAGTATCATTGGAGAGAACGCTGTGGCTGTGAGCCTCAGTGATCATCCAGTAAACATTCACGGCAAATTAACCTAATGTATGTAAGTTACATGCGGGTTCAGGGTTCCCTGCTGAGGGAACAGCCCTTTTTTATCGCCTGGGGGGAGGGGTGGAGGATTTTTGGGATCACATGGTTTTCAGAGGAAACGGAAGGGGGTGAGTCGTTGCCAGCAGAATATAAAGAGGGAGATGTGGAAAATTGACTGCCAATTATCTGCCAATGACAGGGAAATCAAAAGAATATTACAGAGCCCTATGGGGATTGGGAAATTTTGTCGTCACAAGATCAAAATCCCCCAAACCAACCCCACCTCACCGCCAAGTGATGAATAAAGACAGGTCCTAAGGAAGAGCTGTGATTGTCATTTTCGTTGAATTTTCTGCGCGATCGGAGGCAGTCGGGAAACTAACAAGGTATAAAACAATTTCAACGTCAAGCGTCAAGCTCTTCACCAACGTTGGACCCAAGATAGAAAAGTTTAAAGGAGATGTGTACCCGTGAAGCCATATTAACGTCCATCCGCCATTACGAAATAAATATGTGCAATTGATGTATACCATATAGAAAAATAACGGTTTCGCGTGCGCTGATTGGCTAGTTCATTCTCTGAATGAGTACTGAGTGGTAAGATAATAATCCCAAAACTGCCTGGTATCTCTTGTGCAACCGATAATGTCTGTCACCAACTTTGAAATCAGTCGCTAATTCCTTTTACCCTTTATTTGGTTTAAGTTACAGTTTTTCTGCCAGATCGCAGCGAACAGTAAACCTTAAAGAAAGTCGCCATACCTGTTACCAGAAAAAACATTATCATGATCTGTGCGTGCTGTTTGACCTCCGAAGATTCTTCGGAAGACTCGTATACCGAGACAGCACCCGCCACTAGTATTGAAATTGACGAGAGAACCAAAGAAGGATCAGAATACGAAGAGTTAGCGATGGTGTTCTGCTCTCGTGGTGAATACGCTGAAGCTAGAGAATATTTCGAAAAAGCTCTTGCGATCAAAATTGAAATTGGCGACTCAGAAAGTACAGCTATGTACTACGTAAATTTAGGAACTGTGTGCAGGTTCATTGGAGAATACGCCGAGGCTAAAGAATATTACGAAAAAGCTCTTTCCATCGCAACTGAAATTGGCGACAAAGAAGTAGAAGCATTATGTTATCGAAACTTGGGAACTGTGTGCTTTTTCCTTCGTAAATGTGTCGAGGCTAAAGAACACACTGAAAAAGCGCTTGCGATTAGAATTGAAATTGGCGATAGATCGGGTGAATCAGCAGATTACGCAAACTTAGGAATGATCCATAAGTCGCTTGAAGAATATGTCAGAGCTAAAGTATGTCTCCAAAAAGCACTTGAAATCAAAATTGAAATTGGCGACCGGAAAGGAGAAGCAACAGATTGCGGAAATCTTGGTACTGTGTTCAGCTCACTTGGCGACCAAGTCAAAGCTCAGGAGTACTTTCAGAAAGCACTCACCATTGTGATTGAAGTTGGCGACGAATCAGGAGAAGCAACAGTTTGCGAAAACTTAAGTGCGGTGTTATGTTTGCTCAGTGAATACGCCAAGGCGAAGAAATATCAAGAAAAAGCACTTGGGATCAGAATCAAAATCGGCGACAGAGACGGTGAAGCGAGGAATTACAGAACCCTTGGAATTGTGTGTAGGTCGCTTGGTGAACTCACAAAGGCTAAAGATTATCTCGTAAAAGCAATTGCCATCAGGGTTGAAACTGGCGATAGGAGAGGAGAAGCAACAGATTACGCAAACTTAGCAACGGTGGCTTGGTCGCTCGGCGAATACGATAAAGCTAAAGAAAACATCGAACAAGCACTTGTGATCAGTACTGAAATCGGCGACAGAGAAGGGGAGTCATCATATTACGTATTCTTAGGAACTGCATGTCGGTCGCGCGGTGAATACATCAGCGCTAAAGAATTTTTCGAGAAAGGGCTTGCCCTAAGCAGGGAAATTGGAGACAAAAAAGGAGAAGCAACAAATAGCGGAAACTTAGGAGATGTATTTTTTTGGTTGGGTGAGTACGTCAAAGCTAAAGAATATCTAGAAAAATCCCTAGTGATCAGAATTGAAACTGGTGACAAAACAGGTGAAGCATCAGATTGTGGAAACCTAGGAACGGTGTTTTGGTGGCTGAAGGATTACGTCAAGGCTAAAGATTATCTTTTAAAATCAGTTGCCATCAGAATTGAAACTGGCGACAGAAGAGGAGAAGCATCAGATAACAGAAAGTTAGGAACTGTATGTAGGTCGCTTGGTGAGTACGTCGAGGCTAAAGAATTTCACGAAAAAGCCCTTTCTATTAGAACTGAAATTGGCGACAGAAATGAAAAGGCATCTGACTTCAGTGGTATTGCGGGTGCGTCAAGTAGACACTTTGAGGCCGAAGAATATTACGACAAGCCGCTTGCGATTAAAACTGAAACTAATGGCAGAGGCGAAGAAGCATCAGATTACGAAAGCTTAGGAAATTTGAATTGCTTACTAAATGAATTTGCCAAGGCTAAAGAATGTTTCGAAAAAGCCATTGCGATCAGAGTTGAAATCGGTGACAGAGAAGGAGAAGCGTCAAATTACGGTAACTTAGGAACTGTCTTTGAGACGCTTGGTAACTACGTCAAAGCTAAAGAATATCAAGAAAAAGCACTAGCTGTCATGATTGAAATCGGCGACAAATCAGGCGAAGCAACAGCCTACGGAAATTTGGCAACAGTGTTGTGGTCAATAAGTGACTACAAAATGGCTAAAGAATATCAAGAAAAAGCGCTTGCAATCAGAATTGAAATTGGTGACAGAAAGGGAGAAGCAGCGAGTTACGGAAACTTAGGAACAATTTTCATTTCGCTCGGTGACCAAGTAAAAGCACAGGAATATCTACAAAAAGCTGTTTCCCTTAGAATTGAAATCGGTGACAGAGAAGGAGAAGCAACAGATTACGGAAATTTAGGAACTATGTTTCAATTTCTTGGTGAATACGACAAGGCTAAAGAGTGCATGGAAAGAGCACTGGCCATTAAAATCAAAATCAGCGACAGAGCAGGCCAAGGGATAGATTACGGAAACTTAGCAACGGTGTACACCTCTCTTGGCGACTACGTCAAAGCACGAGAATATCTCCAAAAAGCTCTTGCGATCAGAATTGAAATTGGCGACAGAAAAGGAGAAGCATCAGATTACGGAAACTTAGGAACTGTGTTTCATTCGCTCGGTGAATACGTGGAGGCGCAAAGATATTTAAACAAAGCACTTGCAATCAGAACTGATATTGGAGACAGGAGAGGAGAAGCATCAGATTACGGAAACTTAGGAGCTGTGTTTCTTTCGCTCGGTGAATACGTGAAGGCGCAAAGATATTTAAACAAAGCACTTGCAATCAGAACTGATATTGGAGACAGGAAAGGAGAAGCATCAGATTACGGAAACTTAGGAACCGTGTTTAACTCGCTTGGTGATTACGCTAAAGCTAAAGAGTATTTCCAAAAAGCACTTGCCATCACAATTGAAATTGGCGACAGATCAGGTGAAGCAACGAGTTACGGAAACCTTGGAACCTTATTTAACTCGCTCGCTGACAACTTAAAGGCTAAACAATGTTTCGAAAAAGCAATAGCAATCAGCGTAGAAATTGGTGATAGAGGAAAAGAAGCAACATTTTACGGAAATCTCGGAGCTACTTTTAACTTGATTGGTGAAAATTTCAAGGCTAAAGAATATATCCAAAAAGCAATCGCCATGAAACTTGAAATTGGTGACAGATCAGGTGTAGCAGCAAGTTACGGAAACTTAGCAGTCATGTTTAGCTCGCTCGGTCAGTACGTCAAGGCTATAGAATATCAAGAAAAAGCACTTGCCATCAGAATTGAAATCGGCGACAGAAATGGAGAAGCGTTTTCTTACGGAAACTTAGGAACTGTGTTTAGCTCACTTGGAGAACATGCTAAGGCCAAAGAATATCACGAAAAGGCACTTACCATCAGAACTAAAATTGGCCACAGAGCAGGTGAAGCAACAGATTACGGAAACTTAGGAACAGTGTTTCACTCGCTCGGGGAATACATTAAGGCCATAGAATATCAAGAGAAAGCACTTGCCATCAGAAGTGAAATTGGCGACAGGAAAGGAGAGGCATTTTGTTACGGAAACTTGGGAACTGTGTACCACTCGCTTGGCGACATACTCAAAGCACAAGATTATTGCAAGAATGCACTCGCCATCAGAATTGAAATTGGTGACAGAGAAGGGCAAACAGCAGATTACATAAATCTAGGAAACATTTTTAGATCGCTCGGTGATTTTAAAGTTGCGGAAGAATGTTTGGAAAAGGGATTGTCCATATCCAGAGATGTTGGATGTAGTAGAGCTGAGATGAAAATTCACCTTGGATATGCACTGCTTCAACTTTCCCAAGACAGACTCCAAGATTCGCTTCTTTCTCTCCACCAATGTATTGAAAAATATGAAATGTTGCGTGGGCATCTTGGAATGAATGATCAGTTTAAAACATCGATTTTGGAGGTTAGTGGTGCAATTCCTTACGCGATGTTCAGCGTGTTGCTTTCCGTCAACGGAAATCCTCGCGATGCGCTTTATGTTGAAGAGCTTGGGCGAGCGAGAGGCCTGGCAGAATTGATGGCAGAAAAGTACTCTGTTGAAACGCACACGTCCGCTGATCGACAGTCGTGGTCTGGAATTGAAAACATTATGAGAGAAGAAACAAACAGTGCCTGTCTGTACATTTCCTATTTTCAAAATTTTGTGCATCTGTGGGTCTTGAAAGCAAGTGGAGCCATTCATTTCAAAAGAGTATCAGCCGACAAGGTCTTTCTTCATTTGGGATTTGCCGCAGGCTTGACTGTCAGTCAATTTTTAGTTAATTCGAGTTTCAGACAGATTGGTGTTTTGCCAGCTAAAGATTGCGAAGATCGATCTTTGAATGTCGGTGAGCCACAATCAATTTCATTTAAGCAAGAGAACTCCACAGCATTGCGACTTATGGAGGAAGAGGACGAAAATTTCACAGAAGAAAATACCAGTTTGTCATTATGCTACAAAATCTTTGTCGCCCCAGTGGTTGACTTACTCGAGGAGCCCGAAGTCATCATTGTACCTCACAGAAGCTTATACAAAGTTCCATTTGCTGCCCTGAGTGTAGAGGGAACATATCTGTCGGAAACTCATAGAATCCGTACAATTCCCTCATTGACAACACTGAAACTAATTCAAGACAGTCCGGTGCACTATCATAGTCAGACTAATGCACTGATTGTGGGTGATCCCAAAGTTGGCTGGGTCATGTTCAAGGGAGGTATTCAGTACATCACCTCATTACCTAGTGCAAGGAAAGAAGCAGAGATGATTGGACGACTGATGGGCGTAAAGCCTTTATTAGGAGAGCAAGCGACGAAGCAGGCGGTAATCGAGAAGATAACATCAGTGAGCCTAATACATTTTGCTGCACATGGCGATGCTGAAAGAGGAGAAATCGCCCTTTCCCCAATTCGTACTCCTGACAGCCCTGATATCACCCCACAAGAAGAAGATTATCTGTTAACGATGGCTGAGATATCACAAGTTAAAGTTAGAGCTAAACTGGTTGTACTCAGTTGCTGTCACAGTGGAAGTGGACAGATCAAAGCCGAGGGAATAATCGGAATTGCTCGGGCGTTCTTAGGATCCGGTGCTCGGTCGGTGTTGGTTGCATTATGGGCCATATCAGACACAGCAACAGAACAGCTCATGAATCGTTTCTATGAACATCTTGCTCGTGGAGATAGCGCCAGTGAATGTCTTTACCAGGCCATGAAGTGGATGAGAAACAACGGCTATACCAATGTCTCTGATTGGGCTCCATTCATATTGATTGGAGATGACATCATGTTTGATTTTGGAAAATTAAGCTTGGAAAAGTAAGCCATTGTTTTCTGTTGCACGACTAAAAATAGGATTTTCATACGTTAATCCTCGTCTTTTCTATGAAGAGACAGTTTTCATTGGATACTTTTATGTAGTTGTTTTAGTACAGGACTGTCAAGACACGTCGGGGTCCAGTGGAACTGTGGATCGAGGGGGTCTGAGTTCGAGCCCTGGCCGGGTCTTCGGTGCGATCTAGCAAGGGATATATATATATATATATATATATATCAACGAACCTTTAAAAAAAATCTGAAGAAAGTGGACCACATCCAATTCAGGGATGTAAAAACGCCCCTAGTCGCTAGATAATAAACAGGAAAAAACTCAGGGGTTGTGACTCAATTGGGTGGTATGCCCGCTTTGCTTTAACAGTTACAATGTCCTTACTACTGCAACGCGACAAATCTTGACATCTTGATGAAAATCTGTTTCAGGAAAGAGAACCTCACCAATGGAGAACAAGAAGGGAAAACAGACCAAGCAAACTAGGAAACTTTCCTGCTGTTTCAATGACTGATATCTCTGTTTCCGTTGATAAGATGAACAAATCTGGCCCCGGTAATTGTCGAGGTATACAAACACTGATGATGGGTCCCAATAGGTTGTCCTCTTGTCAAACGATAATGAGCTTTGTCATGAAGTGATTTTTTTCGTCCAGTTTACCTTAAAGTTCCACAACGATTCGTCACTAATCCAGATTTTTTAGGCTGATCGATGTAGTCAAACTTTCAGCTTTACCAGATCAGAGTAAAGACATTTAAGATAAGTTTCCGACTCGAATTTAACTTTTCAAAAACAATTTATAATTCCATAGAATTTTTAAGAAGAGATTCTTTTTTCAAAGAAACGAGTTTGGGTGTGTTTAGACTAGGATTCTATTGGCTTCACATGGATGTACAGCCCCTTTTACCCGTTGCAATTCGTTTCAGTTTGGGTTCAGTGACACTCAATAAAAGTTTTACATTTCTGTCAGTGTGTGAAACACAAACTTTATCATGCTGCCAAATGGGAGTCAGACTTTGATGCAGATGATCGAAAAATGCTGTAAAACAAATAAAGTGCAAAGAGGCCCTCTGTTATTAGCACTGCGGCACGTGCGCTTCTTCTTCTCTGATGGCAAAGCGAGTCGGGGAAGGTCTGCAAGGGGGCATTGCGCACTAATAACCCAAACCCCCTGTAGATCCCTGCCGGCTCACTTTTGCTCCAAGCCTCAAACTTTCTCGCGTGCGAGAAAACGAAAACGAACTCTAAAACTCTAAAAACGAAACAACTCTAAAAAACAACTCTAACAACTCTAAACAACTCTAACAACTCTAAAACGAAACTCTAAAACGAGTATAAAATATTTTGAAATCAATCTTCTGTAAAAAGAACACACCGTTCCAGGGGGGAGCATCTCGCTTATTGCGGTCCGTGAGAATAAATCGGTTACGATATAATACTGAGAAAGATAAATACTCCTACAGTTTGCATCAGAGAACGCGATAAGAAAAAGGGAAGTGTGAGAGATGCCTTCGAATGGTTTCTGCAGAACTGACAATCTCTGAATCAGTAAAACGAATCCCACAGGACTTCCCACAACTAAAACCATTAACATATCACTTATGCGTAAATTCCTTCCATAAATACTACATAAAACATACTTGTTTAACATTCCGAAACATTACAAAACATATACTGTAACGCTAATAATGATGACTTTCTAGCAGGCTATCAAACAAAGTTATGCCTTCATTAAAAGGTACTGTTGTCCTGTGTAAGTGTTTGCCAAATGGGAGGGGGGAGGAGTGGGAGAAGGGAAATGTTTTTGCCCATCACGGAGCCTTTTGCTTGTGACGTCTCCCGCGGGTTTTTTCCTGAAAACAATTCATCATCGCTCTTTTTTTCTCCCCCTCTCATTGCCACCGCATCCAGCGATGGAAGAGAAGAGAAATAATTCTAGTTTTCCTCTTGGAACACAGGCTCGGAACCTAAAATTTTAAAATAGTAGCAGTTGTTTTTAAGTACATCAAACAGAACCATATAGATTACTTTTTAACTTTTTATTTATGTACTGTCACAGTACAATGTTTTCTCTTTCAATTTACTTTCTAAATCTACATGATATTATTAGTCTACAGAGCTTCTCTCAAAACAAATTCAGGAGGTACAAGATTAAATTAACCCTTTAACTCCCGTGACTGACCAAGATAGAATTTCTCCTTACTATATCTATACAATATCACACAGACAAGTGATGAGAATAAAGAAAAATATCAATTATGGGATTACTAATTGATTCAATACCAAATTCTCCAAACTAGTACAATGAGAATCATTTGGCAGACAGTAAGGAGAATTACCAGTGAGATCTTGGGAGTTAAAGAGTTAAGACAAAAACCATTTGGTTAAAAATCCAAGAGTTTACTCCTTTTTACCATCACCTTTAACAAAAAGGTACTCGAGTTTTTTTTTTATTTGTTGTGACCTGAAAAATTATAGTTCAAAGTGGTTTAAAGTAGCCACAAAATATGTGTGGTAGAAAAATACCACACTGAAATATTAAACCAAAAAAGAAACCAATGCCAAATTTTCTTAAACTGAAAATAACCAAGACAAACCTCTAGACTTTGAGGCACAGTTGTCGTGACACTGGACAGAGTATTTTAAAATGCAGGCAGTGTGGCACAGAGATAGAAAGCCAAACATTTTTTCTGTTACCAGTCACACACAATAAGAAAATTTTGCTTCAGAGATCTGCATACAATCTTAAACAGCACAGTTATGGTTGCTGAAATCTCACAATGACAACTTCCATTTTGCTAAAAAAGGCACTGACTGAGGGCATTTGAACTTCTAAAATGTAATTCAAAATTTAACAATCAAGTGACAGCATATTTCTAACAGCAATGCACTGCATTAATATATTCCCCTGTAGCACAAGTTCCTCGAGTTTTTAATTATGAATAGACCTCTCTTTATACATCGTGACTTTCTACAACTGCACACATTTACATTAAATAATAACAAACCTACCCTTATCATAACAATGTATGTTGCAAAGTACCTTGTGTTACATGAAATTTTTGGCAAAGTAAAACTTTTGGAAACCTGATATTTCACAAGGTAATAGTCATGACTTAAGAATGAGTTGTTTTAGTCTTTGCAATTTCACAATAAGGAACCAATTACCCTCCAAAGGCAATTGAGCCTAAACCAAACATTAGAAAACAAATGAACAAACAGAAAACAACTCTACAGTATTGAGACTGACATTCTCCTGCTAAATGACAAATCTGTACCAAATTCATGCAATACAATTCTACTGCTGTGAAATATAACATGGCATACCTGACAAAATAATTATGATAATAAAGAAACTAGCTCTTTCTGAAACAAGCACTGCTCCTAAAACTATTTCTTTAGTAGTGACTGAGTACGGAATTTAAATCCTTATTATAGGGGCATTGTTAGATTGCTGTCAAATGACTTGCTTATATACAGGGTGATGACAACTAAATTGAAAAAAGTACACACCTTTACTGCTGAACTCCATGGAGATTGGGAGTAATTCTTCATTAACCCTTAACACCCTAACATCAGAATCAAATTCTCCACACTGTTCTTTAGACACTTCCTATGGTACTTACATGGAGAATTTGTCTAACAATAAAAAGCCTCTTAAATTTGCCCTCATTTCCTTTACTCTCATGCCCCTGTTTTTTAATCAGGGGTAAGACTGTTGGGAGAAATTAGAGATGCTTATCACTCTTAGGGTTTAAAGGATTAATTGAACATTGCCCAATCAAACTATAGCTCTGGAAATATGCTCAAACCCCAAAACCACAAATTAATTATTGCCTTTTTAGGCATTATTGTAGTTTTATGTCACCTGATGAGCTTTTTTTTCTTGAACCAAACTGAATCCCATAAATAATACTTGTTCCCATTGAACTCAGAGTTTCAAAGTCATTTTCTATACGGCCTGCCCAGTGGTAGCTAGTTCAACCCCATTTTGCTGAAGCTGTGCTCTCAGCAGGGCATTCTCTTGTCGAAGTTCTTCAACTTGTTGTCGTAAGAGCTCTGTGTCTATTGTAACCCTTTCTGCATCTTTAATAGCTTCTGCCATTCGTGCATTGTGTAGTTTCAGCTCATTGATATAGTCCACTGTCTTTGACAAAATGCCTCCTTTACTCTGAACAAAGGAACATGGAAAAAAAATCACTGCATTGTCTCCACAGATCTGATTAAGTAGTTCTTCCCTTTGCCTGTTACTAAATAAACTGTTGCCTGTCGTACAATCAAGGCAACACCTTCTTAATGATTAAGCTGTCTATTCCTATTACCTGTTTGCTGATTACTCTAATGAAAGTGTGAGGAGAACTAATATATTGATCATGTCTAGGATCTTATACTTTTGTTACATTTCCCCACATTTTTTTGGTACCAATTAATTTTCCTGGGTAAATAAAGGCTATCCTTAGAGTATAGTTTGTTTACCAAGAACAAAAAACAGGAACTTTAGAAAGGCTTAACCTTGAACTTATAATACAACCTTTTCAAAGTCCACATTTAGTGACCAAAACAGTTGCCAGGCAAAAACAAAAAAATAATTTCTTGGTGCAATATTACATGAAAAAATGTAACACCAAAAACAATGCTTGTCTTTTAAGTAAACAGTATGGCTAGCATTTATCTATTTTTTTTCCAGCAAGAATCAATGAATTGAGTGCTAAGAAGAAAGAGGCCATGTATTAAAGGAAAAACAACACAAATACTATAAACTCCCAATAATATTCATCACTGTTCAGCAAGCAGGTAATGAGAATACCCAGACATATTGGGTAGGAGTAGTTATCTTGATCAAAGACCAAATTCTTGCCATACATTTACAAGGAAATATAAAGCAGCTAGAAGAGAGAATTGAGAATTGAGCCTTGAGAGCAAAATACTCAGTTGGTGTCAAAGACTCAAAGTCCACCAATAATTTTCATAAAAATCACTTTGAAGCATAAAAAAATCCTGAGACTTGTGTTGTTCTCTAATTCAGTTTTTTTCTGATACATCTGAACTATCATTTTCAAGAGAGAAAGTCAATTTCAGTATTTCTCACTCGGAGGTGCAAAATGCTGAATAGACTCTCAAGGGTGCACTAAATTTCCAGCTAAAAATATCAAAGCAACAAATAGATTTAATCAAAACCAAGTTATTCTCTCAAAAAACATCTAAAAGAGTACATCAGAGAAGATTTCTAGTTGATATTATTTCATTATGGATGTCAATAACAGACAAAACAAAGACTTCCCAAATTCCTCATTTGACTTTGCTTGAGACTGACAACCAAGACAACACCACCCTTCTCCCCCTCCCAAAAAAAAATTGTTGTCAGAGACAAAATCCTACTTAGGCAGGAGAGTACAAGTAATTCTTAACTTCTGTGATTGTGTAAGCAAGGTTGTCTATGACATTTCTACACTGCAAGCTTCCATACATGATAAGGATCAAGTTAATAAATTTTGCTAAACTTCTCCCTAATTCTGTGATTCTTTCCTCATGATGCTATAATACTCTGACTCTGTTTGAATGAAAGGGCAACACCTGGCACAAATAAAAAATGGACGGCTCTCTATGATTGGCCTTTTCATGCAAAGGAATGTTGTTAGCTTGGGGAAGTGTTACCTGACATCCCACAAAATGGCTACAAAGAAGACTATGTGGCAAATACAGAAGTAAAATAAGAAATACTTACAATATTCTGTGCTCCGCCAGCCTGGCCAGCTTTTGCCTGCTCAGTGCAACATTCTGGTACAACCTTAGCAAGTTTGTTGATCCATGAGTTTATTTTGTCCCTACGGCGACGTTCCACTAAAGTGGGATGATAATGATTGCATTGAAAGTAAAAAAAAGGAATTGTAATTTTGAACCACTTGTTTTTTTGATAACTTAGTAGTAGAAAAGTGGGCAGCTTAAACCATGTGGTTAAGTCATATGGATGTCATGTGTGCTACTCTCGCACCTCTAAGAGTACAAGGAGAACACATGATCAAAAAAGAAAAAATCCAAGCAAATTTATAGTGGCTAGTGCCTGTTAAAATACTGACCTAACACTGCTTATCTTAACCACTTCCACCAGCACCTTAAGACCGATGAACTCAGAGTCCACCACATTTACTTAACTTGACAAATTGTCACTTAACACACCTAATAGTTGTCATTTTTCAAAACTGAAGATTGTGTCTTCTTTTATCATTTTCAAGTCACGTATGACAATCCGTAGTAATTTAAAATCCTGGAGATCAGTCAACATCTACACCTATCTTTGATTTACTAAACAACGGCTTTTTCCATAAAACTTTCTAGGATTATTTTCAATTGGTAACACCACTTTCAGAAAAAGAATTTTAACAAAACTTCGATCGGAAATCGTGTGAATATATCTACATTGAGAGAAAGTGGTTTTAAATAATTGCGGTGTTGAGATACTCTAAAGTTCCGTCTAAATAACGATATATTAAACATAATGTTTCCTTGCCATCGTATTTCAAAACAACTTTCAAAAATTTGAGGTTAATCAATTTACCTTCGTTATGCGTCGCCCGCCTCTTTTCGTCCCTGGCAGTACGCGGAGCATCCAACTTCCTGTTAAGAGCAACAGAGTTACTTAAAACATACACAACCTCCATCTTGAAACCTTTATCACTCCGTTCGAGGGTGGAAAATATGAATCAAACCTTCGTTCGCCTGGTTTTTACTGCTTTGAACGAGGGAGAAAGCTAAGGAAATCGAACATGACCGTCACATGATTGAAGAATATCATGTGACACGCAAACTATCATGTGTTCAGAAACACATGACTCAAAGCCGCTCAATTCAAAAACTAATGCAAATTCCAAACACACTACAAACTTTCTTCGACAGAAGTACACTTGCTGATTATCTCTAAAGATGTTTAAGCGATTTTTGCGAGTGCGAACGGTTTCGAATTAGACGAATCAAGTAGACTCATAACAACAGCTATCGATGATTCGAATCATGTTACATCGCCGAGGTTTAATGTGAGGCTTACCGATTTGAGAAATCGACTTTGAAGCAACAACCGTAAAAATAAACCACCTAAACAATGTTCACTGATGTTTCGGGAGGGAACTTAAGATTCCAAACTAAAAGCTGTTAAAGAAAAATATCCGGTTTAAGCAAAATCAACCAAACTTCAGTGAAGAAACGAAGGCAGAGATAATAATTTCCTTATAAATAAAAGATTATCCAGAAAAGACGAGCAAATACTACAGTCAACATATCATCTTATATACGAGTTATAGATTTCTTGTCAAACAATTTTCCCTCTCCTATAAAGACCATTGCTTTTCACTCACGTGGATATTTTGTGAGTCATAGCCGGGGCTATGTTCCGTTGGGTTCCGCCTGGCATAACATCTTGTGGAGACATCATCACATAAAAACCACCTATGGTATAGTAGAGTAAGATCTCTTGAATTCATACTTCAAACGTTAAAATCAAATCGCAGCAGTGTTATGATCGACGATTTGAATTAAATGAGGGAATGTGCCCACCTGTAGCAGTACCGACAGTGGTGATAGTCTGCGCTTCGGCCATTGTAATTGGTATTTGGGAAGGCGAAGATGGTTGAGTAAGCGACACGGGAATGTTTCGCACTGTGTAAGCGCTTGTTCCATCTAAAGCATCGTTTGCACCGGCTTGAACCACTGTGGCTGTTGTGGCACCGTCAGCCGCCTGAAAATACGTAAATCTAGCCCCATCTGCGGCACCTTCAGCCTCCACAGTATGAGTAGGGGAAGAGCCATTACTAAATGGGCTTTGGATAACAGTTTGTACTTGGGGAGCGAAAGCAGCCGTGGCGGCATCTACTCGTTCGCCAGAAGGATCGGCGGCTTGAACCTGAACGACTCGAATTGGCTGTGTCCCTCCATTAAATCCCGTAGTTTGTACACCAGTAGCGTCTGTTCTGTATTGGAACTGAAGGGTGCCTGGATCACCGAAAGCGGCGTTCGCTTGTTGTCCTACAAGAGCAGCTGCCGTTTGCTCATCGGAAACAGTCGATACTGTCACTGTGACTGTTTCTGGCTCCGGCACTTGTGTTGGATCGGTGGTTTTGGGATCTTGTAATGGTGAATTTTTCTCTGGATCCAAAGACCCGTCGAGCATGTCCAGAGTTGGAGAACTGGAGTGCGGAGTCGTGGTCATGGGGTCAAACAAACTGGTCATGTGAACAAGAAGAGAGAAGCGACGAAACTGACCACGAGGACAACGAACATCACATGATAAGGTACGTCATCGCGGCTTCCTTTCCAGCGCCCTTTTTCGTTACCGTTGGAAACCGTCCATCAAAAGTACAGGGTCAGGTCAATCACGTGTACTAACATGTGAAAAAAGCACGTGATTTTAGTGGATTCGTTGCTTTTCCTTTCAAAAAGGCTCAGTAGAAAGAGTTCAATTAATTTTTTTTTCGATTTTTCTCTGATCATTCACGTGGAGAAAAAAATTTAAAAAAAAAACAGTTGCGGTGTTCTCATATCCCGAGAAACCCCGAGATAAGCTGAAATTTAAGTACTAAAAAGAGTCTACGAAATAAAAGCAGATGGTTAACCTGCTATAAAATTTATAACAAATATCACGTAGTAACGATTGTAGTTATATGTCAGAAAAAGCAAATTGGTCACCAGTCCACTCCATCTCATGCATGTGATAAACCATAGGTCTCAACATTTCCCACTTTTTTCTGCACTTTAAACTTTTGGGGCGGGAAAGTTTTACTACCCACTGACCAAAACCTGGCTAATCAATGCCTGTCAAAACACTCGGAGAACAAAAACTCGACTTGGATGAAAAGAATCGTCGCGAAGTAATTGAACTCAGAGGGAGAGAGCTTTAGAGTACGTAGCTCTAGCGGAAATATAAAGAAGAGGAATGGAATTAAAATGAGCTAAAGATGCATTCCCTTTGCCGTATTCAATTTTGCACCCAACCAGATTATTTTATCTGCTCTGACTCAGCTCTTCACTGTCAAGGAAATTTGAGTCGATAATCAGCTAATTGCTATGACAAGCTCTTAGCTTAGCGAGACTTGACAATCGCCGTTAAGCGAAATTTATTCGTTTAGCGAAATGCATATCAGCCTTGTTTGCTGGAGAAAACAGCCATATTGATGAATAGGTTGTTTAATAAAAGAATACAGATTGTAGCATTCGATGGGCTATATCAAGTACTGAAGTGTGCATCGATGTGCAATATTTATAGCCTTCACTGAAATGATAACGATAACGATGGCACAACGACAGGGGTGATAATCAGAGGTTGATTGATTTAACGTTCCAAACTAATGAACTGAAGAACTCTGAACTCTCTACGGTGGCCAATTTATGTTATAAACTCAGTTGATAAAGCCAAATTACCTTGTGATACCCCTCACTGACGCAGCCCCGCAGTTTCTTTACCCATTCACCAAAAATTTACTCAACTTACCCATCATTTTCATTTTTTTTTTTTTTAAAGACGGACAAGATGGGGGAGGGAAAAGGGGGAGAAGACAATAAATTGACATAATGTCTTCGAACTCATAAAAATTCACCACAAGAATTTATTTAGAAATTTTTTTTTCTATGTGGTGGGCGCAAATATTTCGTTAATCCCTCATGACTGGCTGTTCCCGTATCACGCGACACTGCGAACGTGTTTAACAGTGTTTCCTGCGAACGAATGTTTGAGGAATTGAAACGTGATGTCTGTACAAGAATGGTTACGTTGCATGTGATCTACCTAATTAACTGGATCCTGTCACTGATGCTTTTGAAAAAGATCAATTATCTCCTTTATTTTACTTTGAAAGCTTTTTAGAAGATTATTCTTGATGGTTTTCATTTCGAAAAAGTACAGTGATGTTACGTTGCATTAAATTTCATTTCGGAAGGGTGTGGACTCCAAATCAAAGTAAAAAATCATGAGTCAAAAATCACGCCTGTTTCCATTCCAGGTGAATTTATTCAAATCATGTTATTTCTTCATTTCTTCTTTGCCTTTTTGTTCTCCCATCGAAAGTCATGTCTGTTAAAAAAAGGGAGGAAGTTAAGAAAAAGGGAAAAACGAACATCTTCAACATCTTAACATCTTGATATCTTCTAAGCTTACCTTGACTGCCAGCGTGGGCCATGATTCCACACTCTGCCAAACGAAGGCAACCTTAAACAAAAGTAATAAATAGTGATCTACATATTAAAGTAGTTCCCATCAAGTTTGTGTTTCGTTTACGAGGTAATTTCACCCCCGTTAGCGAGCTGAGATTTTAGCCCTGTTAAATAATATCGAGAAGGAAAAATTCAGCGCGGTTACAGGATGAAACAAGAACGAGAAGCCATGAGTGAGACGTGATCTTTCTAGTTTCATCTCTAGAAACGAAATTAGTTTTTAAGATTAAAAAAAAAACAAAAAAAATTGATCCCGTCATGTCAAAAGAGTGATGAGCCGAAGGTGGAACATCATGAACCGAGCACGCCCCGCTGCCCAGGTTCGTATGGAGCGGCGTAAGAACGTTCTTGAAATGATAAGAAAATAACAACAACGAAAAAAGAAAAAACTAAAAAAAGGTGTCATCGCTTTGGAGCACATTTCAAGTGAGAGTCGTAAACCAAAGTAATCGCAAGGGCCAATAATAACAAGGGAAAATATCTGAAGCGGTCAATTCTCCACTAAAACTAAAACCAAATAAACTGCCTGTAGAGTAGGAGACTCGCGGTTGGTTTTAGTTCCGAATCTGATGGATGAAGGGGGAGCACAACCTTCCTAGATCAATCACAGAGGGAAAAAAAGCCCTTCATGATTGACTCTTGTAAAACCAAAACAAAAGTTATCACTAGGGCCACTCAGAAGAAAGGAAAAAAACATCTAAGAGCCGAAGAAAATTTAAACAACCAAACTGCCAAAAGCGATGAAAAATGCGGGCGACCAAGTTTGGTTTCCATGTGATTGGTTGAGAAAGTGGTGCAAGTTTTCTGAACCAATCACAAAGCGAAGTGAAGCAAAACTAATGCAATCCCGGAGTACTTTATACACTTTATTGACAACTGTTAAAGCAAAACCAATCAAATTCAAGACAACTTTTGACACACCAAAGAAATTGGCTTGACACAATTTCGGAAGGAACGAACTGAAGTAAACGAAGTACAAAAGCAAAGTAAAAACTGAATGCTATTTGGGAGCGAACGCACCACAAAAAAATCTTCGCTAGAAGTGGAAGAGATTTGAATAATCTTGAGCACCTACCTTAGAGTTTTGGTTGCATTTCATCTGTAACAATTCATAAACCTACCAGTCATCACTTGTCTCTCTTTTCCGGTCAAAGTTTGCACCAACTCGCTGTGGGTTTTTGTGATTTATTTTTTTCATTTTCTCCACTGAAAAAAAAAAAATTCCAAGAAAAATTGAATTATATTGTTAATCTCATGAAAATGACTCTTAGAAGCAGTAGCCACAGCCATAGGTATCGTAAAGCGCTTTCTTTTCTCTAAAATGTTTTTAAACATTTAAAACGCTAAAACAAAGGTTACCAAAATGGGCAATCAGAGTATGGGAAAATTTCAAAGGGAGCCAGTGTGAATTCAACGTAATCCCAAGCAGCCACTCTGAAGCACGGGAAAACCTGAGTGACCCATTCAGTTGTTTTTCATTTTGCATTTTATTGGTTAAGGAAACATGGCGAGAGATTTTTGAGCCCATCACCGAGCGTAATGAAAGAGAATCTGTGAAATAAAGGATAACTTTCTTCACCCTATGGAAATCGTTCCATTTCCATTCGTCTCAAGTAGGTTTTCTACGCTACGATTTGACAGGGGATAGGTGAAGCTGCCGAGTATTACACGTATTTCCTCTCCATCAACCTCCAGCTGATATGAATCATTGAATACCTCTGAATGTGTGCCATCGTTTCAATATCATGTCAGCTACGAGGTACTCTGACTCATGCAGGGAACAATAGCACTTTGAAAGAAATTCATTACAGCATTTCATGTACATACCATGCTTTTTAAAAGCATCATAAGATGGACCAATGACAACATCACTTGCAGTGCTGCTATCCTGCATTTTAAAATGAGTAGGGTGTAAAGGGAGTAAAATGTAATAGGGTGCTCCTGATTTAAATCAGAAGACCATAGGATAGGCTCTTGTCAAAGCAACTAGTTTTAGGTTTTTTGAAATAAATTTCTGGCACCAATTGGCTTCACCCTTTTAACTCCCATGAGTGACCAAGACAGAATTTCTCCTCACAATATCAAGACAATATCAAGCAGACAAGTGATGACAACTAAGAAAAATATCAAGCAGGAGATAATTAGCTGATGCAATACCAAGTCCTCCCAACTAATATCATAAGAACTGCATGGTAGACAGTATGGAGAATTACAAATGAGATCTTGGAATGAAAGGGTTAAACACACCTTGTTATCATCATTGTCGTCATCATCATTATCATCTCTCAGCCATGGGGGTGTTGCACCTACATAAACCAAAAAATTAAAAAAAAACATAAAGAAATTCACTTTAAAGAGCTCAACCTTGATACAGCAATTTTCAAGTCTCACTAATGGCCAACACACCTTCTGCATTTTACACTTGATTGCAAAGATTGCTTTAATCACATAGATACTGTGATACTTTTTTTTTTAATGTTTTTGAAGAGGGAAGTGCAAAATAAATGTTCTTGCACAGAACATCACCTCACGACTAATACCGAGACAAAAATCTCCTCAGGCTCCATGAAAATTGTCAAATAATTTCCTTGCCTTTCCCACTGAGAAAATTATTCACTTTACTCTCTGCAAACAAACGTGTTTCAGTCTAACCTGTGTGTATATTTCCTTCTCCCTCCTTAAGTTCCTGCATGGAGATAAAAAATTCAAAAGCTTTTATTTCTAACAATTTATGCTGTTATACTAATATAACTCCCGTGAGTGACCAATACAGAATTTTTCCTGATAACATCAATATGATATAAAGCAGACAGGTGATGAGAATAAAGAAAAATGCCAATTAGGGGATTATTAGTTGATCCAATACAAAATTCTCCAAACTAACATCATACGAACTGAATGGCAGACAGTAAGAAGAATTTCTAATGAGATCTTGTGAGTGAAATAGTCAACTGCTAAATAAAAAATTTAATCAGGCAATTAAAATTAATGGGGAATACTTTGCACAGTAGCCAGATAATTTGGTAATTTCCATAGTCTGATGAACCACCAAGAAGAAAACTGAGCTACAAAATTTTTTTTTATCCCCCTAATTGTCTATAACCCTTTAACCCCTTAGAGTGAATAGCATCTAATTTCTCCAAACAAATATCACCCCTGAGTCACACATTAAGGTCACAAGAATAAAGGAAATGATCATGAACTAAAGAAGCTCTTGATTGTTTGACAAATTCTCCTTGTCAGCACCTTAGGAAGTGTATAGAGAAAAGTGTGGAGAACATATATACTAATTTTAGGGTGTACAGGGGTAATGTTTTCATACAGAAGGTGCAGAGCAGTACCGGAATTCCTATGCAAGTAAGATTCTCTCCAAAAGCTTCAGCTGTTTGGAACCTTGTTTTTGTTACGACACCATTTGAAAGAGGAGAACCTACATGCACAAAACAGGATATGGAGCACAATATTCATGAGTCAATCCTATCATGATGTTTAGGAAGAAATATACATTTCTGACTACAACATGATTGCTATATCAAAAAGGGTAAACCAAATCTGAACCAGCACAAGTAGACTGAAGACCTTGAATAAACAATGTAGAAAATCTTTTACTACTAGATACCACCCAACTTCATAACCCACAATTTGAAAAAAAGGACTGCAAGGTGGATCCAGACAATTCATAAAAAGGAGCCAACAACTGTAGGGAGAACACAACTTAACTTCACATAAATATCACTGAATAACCTACATTAATCTATCTTAAAAACTGAAACAAACCCTTCAACACCTAAAGAAAATTGGAGAGGGATACAGACCTCCCTACCCTACCCAAAATCTTCTTATGTTACTGAAAGAAGGGCAGGGCACCCTGTATGTATGGTGGGAAGAAGAGGGACGACATGCTAAGATCACCCAGAGATCATGGTTGTTACACTATGACTTTGAGTCTATTAATGAATTATTGGCCAACACAAGTCAAACCTTCAGAGCCTTTATCAATTGAATCCATATTCCATGGAAACCACTGATTTGAACCAGGTCTAAAAACAATAAGTACGTTTTCTAGTTTAATGAGAACCAAAATGATAAAAACCATGTGAATTACAGCAACTAAAATTAAGAGTTCGTAAATTACAGTTATTCATCATCTCCACATCTCCCAAAGTGCACTTCAATTGCCTCCCAAAATTTGGCATAACCACTGTTTTGCATTTCTTACTTAAGCATTTTTCAATTTTGGGAATAATGTAAGCATGTTATGAGAAATAAGAAAGTGGTGCTAACTTTTGTGTGACCCATTCCTAATTCCATTCCTAATTCAGTAATTTATAAAATTGAATAAAAAGAAGTCTTAGAACATATGAAATGAGGATTCACGGTGAACAGTAGCAAAGACTTCCTTAACCCTTTGACCCATAAGAGTAATTAGCATCTAACTTCTCCTTACAATATCACCCCTGAATTACATATAAAGGTCATGAGAATAAAGGAAATGATCACTGACTAAAGAAGCTCTTGATTGTTTAACAAATTCTCCTTATCAGCACCTAACAAAATCTATGGGAAACCTTACTGAGAATATGCATATTAATATCAGCATGTAAAGGGTATAATAAAAGTTCTTTTATTTCTTTCCTTTTCTTTTTTATCCTAGAGGAAAAGCCTATTGATTATGATGAGTGAAATTTCTGAAATCATTTACCCAAGAAATTCCTTTCTTATTTACAAATATATGAAATATATATAAAGCACAAATACTGTTACCTGTATTTTACTATTCCACCACCCCACACTCTTTGTCCTTCATGCCTACACAGATACATGTAATTATACTTGTAGCATCTTCAATCGTTAAATTCCACAATAACATAACTCAATAAATTATCTTCCCTAACACAGCTATAGCAGAGTAATTTAGTACTATCAACTGAGTTGATAACATAAACTGGCCACTGTAAGGAGTTTCACAGTTGATGTTTGGAGCATTAGCCCTTTGCTCTGATGAAGGGCTATTACTTGAAACATCAGCTTTGAAACTCTTTATGATGGCCAATTTACATTATCAACTCAGTTGATGATACTAAATTGTGCTTTTTGTTGAGCTTTTTGGCTGATCAAAGCAAAGTTTAGCCTTTATACAAACAAATTAAACTCAAGCTCATCCCATGATCATCACAGTGCATGAAGTGCAAGCACATCATGAGTTCCATTCATGACTATTACCTGTTACCAGTAAATAAAAGTATCTTTTTGAAATTAAATAAACATAACACAGAAGAATTGCATTGATTTTTGTCTGCAGAATTAGGCAGTTCCATGAAGCGGAAAAATACATTTTGTCAAAATTTTATTGTATTTTATTACAAACCATCCAGTGGGGTTCTGAAGAATTCCTTGTTCATTTTGTACTGTTTTGTAGACAACTTCAGGTGTAACTTGAATTTCTGGTGGCTGTTGTTTAAATATTCAGGAAACAATAACGACACCAAATACAAAATAACACAGACATGTTTGGTGTTCCCATTAGGACAACTTTACAACGACAGTTACTGTAAAGGCTATATCCTGGTATCAACTCAACAACACAAGAAGCTTAAAAAGTAAATTTCTAACCAAGTGTAAAAAATATTGACAGGAATGTTTCATTTTACTCAAAACCACTTCACTCCTTCCTTCTTCACAAAGATTTTCTTGTTTCAAGCCTCTGACTTCCATTAATTAACTCTTTGACCCAAAAGAATGACTAACATCTAATTTCTCTTTACAATAGCACCCCTGAGTCATACATTAAGGTCATGAGAATAAAGGAAATGATCACCAACTTGAGTCAGCACCTTAAGAAATGTTTAGAGCACAGTAGGGAGAATGCGCTGTATGTAGCAACTACAGCCCACTGGAATGCACCAACAAAAGGAAACCAAAATGCTATAGATATTAAGACACGATCATTAAACACTGCTTGAAATGTCACCATCAAAGATTGATATGACTCTTTCTTAAGAAGTGAACAAACAAGCAGTATACTATATCTAAATTTAACTCTTGTGTGTGACATTATATCAATATCAGGATACATCAGTCAGTTACCCTGCCTCAAAAACAGACCTGTTGGCTTGTATGAGCTTGAAGGAGTTCTCTATGTTTGATCTGGGAAACTGTCTGGTGAGAATGAAGAGAGAAATACTGTAATACAAATTTGCAGAACATTAAAACCACCAGACAGGTGAGTATGTAAAATGCTGCTATTTTCAGGCCTGAAAGACAGGTGAGTATATAAAATGCTGCTATTTTCAGGCCTGAAAAAAAAAAAACCTGAAATTAAGCCTGTGGATTGGAACTTGTCTAGAGCCTTAGCAAGAAAATCTACTGAACTTACCTGGAAACCATGTAAGAGTTTTGTTAAGACTTGTCTTTTTTCTTAAAACAGTCCATTTACCAAAAGATCTCACATTTTGAACCTTAGACATTTTAGACTTCTCATTACAATGTAAATGTAACTCAAACTGAAGACAATTCATGGAAATTGATTTTACCAGTGTGTCAGGGCTCCTAACACAAAACTAACCTAAGTTGTCATTTGGCAAACTTTAAATTGTAAAATGGTCAAGAGACTTATTATTTAAAGTCCTGACCTTTAATCTCTTTTGTTCCATTGCAGCTTCAAATTCCTGGAGTTTCTTGTTGACCTCTTCTTTGTAGCTACAAAGAATGAAAATAATTACCTGAGTGTCTTTAATGAGTATGCTGAACAAGTTTTATCCATAACTCTGGTGTTTCCCAAATGATAAATAATAACTAAACATACACTGTAATCATACAAAAATACAATAAAAATACTAGTCCATGGAATTCACCAGAATCAAAGAACAAACCTGTTAAACTTCTCTTTATTGATTAAGAACTTTTCTTTAAGATTTTTGTCTGCTCCATTTTCCCACCAGTACTTATGAAGATTTTTGCTGTGATTCTCACTAGAGATAAAATACAAAATCTATTATTCTAGCAACTTTTACTCTGCTTTTTAGAACAAAAGTAAGAGGAGGAACCAATCTGTAAGTTCTAGAGTAAGTCCAGTCGTTTGAGGTATCACAATTTCCAAAAGAGGCATTAGATCAATTCTTCATATCAAACAGGTGTAGTGAATGTAATTATGCAAAAAATATGCAGACCAAAGAATCAAAAAAATTTGAAATTGGGAGGACATTTACAGGAGTAGCTCAGTTTCTTTGTGATTTTAACTTTATCTTGATTCACTGGGAAACTGCACAGCACTAAAGTACCAGCTCTGTCAGCTCGATCACAGATGGCTCAGTTTATTATGTACTGAGACAGAAGTTGGTAAACATTATGAAAAAGTAACTGCAAACCAGTATGAGGACAGGTAGATATAGCAATTCCCATTGTGAGGTGTTCAGAATTGTTTTAATCTTAGTTTCTATGACAGATTTTAATCTCTAAACAAGTCTTAGGAATTCAAAATTGGTTTTAATTTTCACACAAGATCAAAGACACCTCTTTATGAAATGATAAATGCAGTCTCTTTTATAATCATTGAAAAAGCATGGAAATATGCAAATGTAAAAATATCATTGTCTGGGAAAGATTTAATACCTTGCAAAGTGTTCAAAGAGTCCACCATACTTGATAGTAACTTCTCTATCAGTGACATGTTTATTAACATTCTCACTGCAGAAGTGACACCAAAATCTTGACCCTGGCTCTAACTCACCATCTTCAACAGATGGTTTCTTCAGAAACCTTCTGGCTTCGTCAACCTAAAAAAAAAGGTAAAACATAAAAATTTTGTGACACTTTTACCCAGGTTTAACCTTGATCTGGTGAGTATTCCCAATTTAGTGACATTGTTCTCCCCCCATGGGGAAAAGAGGTGCTGGCAACAGATCAACCATTCATGGTGCTTTTATCATAGGATACTGAAATCAACTTTGACAATAAGGGGAAGAGAGGTGCGAGATAAAAAAAAAACAATAAATTAATTTTCAAAATGTGATAAAGAAGAAACACTTGCATCTTTGCATATCAGCCCACCTTTTTGCCAAATTTAATCAGGATCTGGCTCAGCAAGCTCCTATGCTTTCTTGAGTAAATATGTTTTCTCCCTTGGTCGTGGTTTATACGGCAAATAATGCAGAACAGAAATTGTCCCTTCGGACAGTCTTCTGCGTTGCCATCCGCCATAATGAATATTTCCCACAAATCATTTCAAGCTGTGTGGTTTACCGCTGTCCTTCAATATGCTGGCTCTTGTCCAAGGATATAGTGCCACAGTTATTAGCATCTGTCGGAAATATTTCTTTATTCTTCAAGTCAAATGTATGAAACGCTAGTTTTTACAATCGGAAAAGGCTTTGCGGTGTGGAAGCCTCACAGCAACAGACAGCTTTTTATACTTGGTGCTCAGATAACGTGTCTATCGTGATTTACAGGACAATGGTTGTTGACATTGGTTGTCGCCTGTCACTGGACGGAATATACAGAGATCATCGCGGTCTATTATTGTTAGAGGACAGCTGACATGCAGCTGAAACGGAACAATAGCTCTCATGACTATTTAATGAGGTAACCTGCTTGCCTAAAGAGAAGCAAATTAGCCCAGGATTATGAAACGAAAGAGACCTACTTTTCATTTTTCGCACACAGAGCGATTGTTGACCTATAGTGTTCTACCATATGTCAGTAATGAGTTGCAAAGAAGAGTTAATTGGCTAAGCGCTTGAAAAGGTCCTTAGGGAAAGAGATGTTTCCTGCTGTTTGTCTTTCGTTCCGGAGGAAAGGCAAAGAGTAACAACCGGCCCGTGCTTGTTGAATGTAATTATGGCAACTGACTAAGTGAATTTGTGTAAGTATGGCGGGAACTTCTGTTGAGAGTAACTCCAGCCTGGAGATATCGAGCGGAGCGTCGGGTTATCAGGCTATTTCTCCCAACGATAATCCTTCTTTAAACGCAGATGGATTTGAATCTGAGCCCTTCTTGTGTCATCACCACGGAACTGTTTGTTCGGCGCGTTCTGCCACTGCTGCGGAGAAATTCACTTGGTGCAAAACGGACGATGATAACTCGCCGAATGGAGAACTTATACGGGCATTGAAAGACTTCAAAGCGAGAAGCCTTGCTTTAAAAGCAGCTCTAGAGGATGAAGCCATGGTAAATGATATTCAGAAGGAGTTGTCTGACTACGTGTGTAGTTGCAGCGACCCGAAATATGTCCACTTAGTCAGTGGGTACCATGTGGAGTGCATTGAAAAGTTCTGTTCTAAGAAGGAGACCTTCACGCAATACCACGAAAATCGATTTAAAACCTACTCTGACGTTGGATCGACCAAAGCTAGTAACCATGTCACTAGTGCAGTCGCCCCTGAGGAATTCTACAAATATTCCTTCTACGGTGTGAAACATTGGAACTACTGCGCAAATGATGAAGACATTGGCGCAGTAATAATTACGTTGAAACCCGAAGTAACCAACCCACACTCAAAGGGATCATTCAGGTAAAATATTGTATCATTATTACACTGTAATACCTTTAACTGAAGGCGAATTCCCTAATTTGTGCTTTGATTTGCATTTTGACGATGACTATTCTTAAATTTAACCACATTGACAAGAATAACAAATAAATACAGGACCAGGCGTGAATTACGTAAATTACGTCACATGTTTATCAAGTTTTTCTCGGTAAATCATAACTTTTCGAAACTCCCAAAATTTACAACATTTCAATTGCCTTTCATTTTATTTGAAATTAAACCTGAAAATGATCCATTGGAAGGTCATTTCCTCTACGCAAAGAAACTCGATAATATCAGCCCTTGAATGTGTCCGTGCCTTATCCAAAAAGACAGATGTATCACTTTTAATCTGATCTTTGACTTTTTGGAAGGTTTCATTTTACCAGTTCATTTGGCATGTTCTAAGCCAATTTAAATCCTGTTATTTTATGTGGTTGCCAAGTTTATTTTAATGGTTTTACTGACATTTCATAAATATCTACATGTATCTTCAGCCATAAGGTAAACAGTTGGTAAAATATTTAATTAACCTTAATCTAACTTTCATTCATCACTTATCTGGCAATGAAATGTCTGGTGTTGAGTGTTGCATTTAATTATGACCACCTACAGATGGTAAGGGAATTATCTATCATATGATTTAGTGCTTGAGGTGCTCTAGATCTGTATGAATAATTAAAGCACATAAGGTGTTGACATGAATAGATTGTAAAAACTTATTTGAGACAATATGATACATCATTTATGCTAAAAATCCCCTTTTAATTATTTTTCCACATGTCTTAAAATAATTGTTTTTAGAAATCAGACCTTGATCATTAATTTGTTCACTGGATGAGCTGAAATGTCGTCAATACTATGTTTTGAGAGAACTTCTCCATTACTATAGCATTTAAGTCACATTAACATCAACAGTTTTATTTCAACTTACAGGAGAGTAATCTAGTTCATGAAAAATATATAATATACCAAAATTTCTTGACCTGGTAAAAAAAAGTTTCACTGTAATTAATTAATCTTAATCTCTGAAAACAAATTTCAAGTGACAGCTACATTTTCATTTCCAAAATTTTATTTACTATGCACTGGTTGTTCAAAGGTTGGATAATGCTATCCATTGGATAAAACCCTATCCGATGAATAATGCTTTATGTTTTGTTATTACTTATCCCCTGGATAGTGATTTTTCTATTGGATAGCATTATCTGCCCTTTATACAACTGGGCCCAGTTATTTTATGCTTCTATCCTTCCTAAAAGGATAATGGTCCGCTCAGCCCACAATCTTGTCATTGGACTGCTCTCTTGCTCAAGTCACCAAGTCAGTCTTTCAAGCAGAGATGATGTGGTACACTTTATAAGTCAACAAGTTGATATTAAAGCCCCTGTCAAGCTGATTACAATACCTTCAGTACCAGCAGAGCTCCTCAAGATGGACAGTGTGAGTGAACCCTTTACCTCTCCAAAGTGTTTAAGAAGTAACTTCTCCTTATCACATCTATCAATTATACAACAAAAAGATAATGAGAATTCTCAAACTTATCAGATTGAAGTTTTTGTCATGATTCAACACAATGTTCTCAGAACCAATTCACAAGGAAATGTGTAACAGTTTGAGTGGAGGATTAACAATTAGATCTTGGGAGTGAAAGGGTTAAATTTGTATTTACAGCTTTAATAAGGTTACATTGTCAGAGTTATAGATTGTATGACTTAATTTTATGGTAGCAAGCACTCAGAGACTTCCTTGGGGAAACCAACTTGATCATAAAGGTTAATAATGACTGAAAAAAAAAATTGAAATTAATTTCTAAATTTTCAGGCATTCAACAAGCAAGCCCACAAATTTGGTGTGGTTTACATGAAGGAAGGACAGCAAACTGAGGAAGAGCTTCTTGGTAATGAAACTCATAGCAAAGCATTCGATGACTTTTTGAATCTGTTGGGTGAAAGAATCAGACTGAAAGGTTTTGACAAGTACCGAGGAGGACTGGATGGCAACAATGATCTGACTGGAAAATATTCTGTGTTTACCAAGTTTTGTAATAGCGAGGTCATGTTCCATGTGTCAACTCTTCTACCATTTGAAGAATTCGACTCTCAGAAGGTATTTTGTTAAATATTTGCTAAAGGACATTTACCGTAGTTAGACGGCTCTCTTATATGGCTTTCACTTGTAGGTTGACACTTGTCCTCAACCCTTTAAACCCTGAGAGTGACCAGTGTCTAGTTTCTCCTGAAAATAATATTGCTGACTCATTCAATTGAGATCATGAGAATAAAGGAAATGATCACCAACTAAAGACGCTTTTGTTTGTTAAACAAATTCTCCTTGTCAGCACCTCAGGAAATGTATAGATAACAGTATGGAGGATGTCATACTGATGTTGGGTGTAAAGGGTTAATGGACACCTCCTGTAGGTTGACACCCATGTGAAGTGGATACCTACTGTAGTTGAAAACCTTGTACTCATGAACATCTTATACAGGAGGATGCTCCTCCCAGTAGTTGGTCCTTAGAGCTGGACACCTCCTCAGAGGGCATCTCTAGTAGATGGATGCCTTCTATGGCTGTACATCTTAATGCTTTAATTCCCAGATCAAATTTGTAATTCTCCTTACTGTCAATCATACAATTCTTATAATGTTAGTTCAGAGAATTTAGTATTGGATCAATTAGTTATTCCCAAATTGATATTTTCCTTTATTCTTATCACTTATCTGGTTGATGTTGTATTGATGTTATAAGGAGAAATTCTGTCTTGGTCACTCATGAGAGTTGAAAGATTAAGTAGACTCCTCCTTTTAGTGTACCACTTAGCAGGTGGACATGTGCATTAGGTAGGCACCTATTCATGCATGCCTCTATTTTGTATAGGTAATAACATGATTTCAAGTGGAATTTGGTGTTATTAGGCAGGGATAAATTTTCAAAGACAACAAAATTGCATGAGCCCACCGTACAAGTTCAATTTTT